TTTTAATGTACTACATTATTGCACTTCTTGTCATAATCACTGCATTCGTTGTTATATCATTACACTTCTTGACATAATCAATGCACTTCTTGTTATATTCAGTACATTAAACACAAATCACTCACAACGTTCACTACTCAATGTCCTAGAATTCACTACACACTGTTTTTAACCATCTTCAACTTATAGCTCGTCTTTAACCTTGGGCTCGTCTTCAACCTCGACGGCGTTGGCTGAAAAATCTGACTCTTAGGAGCAGCGGTTCAACGATGTTCTTCGAGCACATTGCGAACCACAATTTCAGGAAATACAAAAAGAAGGAAAAAGGGAAGGAGAAGAAGAATGAGAAAAGAAAAGGATGAGGAGACCGGGGTGTTGTTAGATGGCGGGTGGTGCTGCTGCAGGACGGCGGGCGGTGCTGCTGCAAGATGACATGCGGTGGTGCCGCAGGACGGAGGGCGGTCGTGCGACTGGCCTGGATGGCGGGTGGCGAGATGCGAGATGCGTGTGAGCAGTAGAAGATTAGAGGCGAGCCGTTACGGCTAGGGTTTGAGAAAAGGAGTATAAAATTAGGGTTTTATAATAATAACTTAAGAACATGTTGGTCTATAAAAACTATTTATTAATACATTAATTAATTAAAATTACGAGTGTAATATTTGGCGTCTCTCTAGGGCTTATTGCCGCTAGAGGGTATCTCTGCTATCGATTTTGATCGAGGAGCGGCTTTTCATCCTCGCGACAAGGAGATTGTCGACGGAGGGGTGCGGCCGGATGGGCGAGGGACACCGATCGACGGAGGGAGCTTCATGATTGGAAGGGAGTTCTCATCACTAGACTGTGGTTTCAGCGATCATAAAGGCAGGAAGACAGGGAGGGGTAACGATCGTTTTGCTAAAAACGGAGTTATTTAATGGAATCAATCGTCAATCAGTACAAACAGATGACTATTGGTGAGGTAACAGAGGAATTGGATCTGGACGAGGAAGAGATTGGTGAAGTTGCGGCGGAAGAGGTTCGACAGACGTCCTCGGTGGTTGGTACTCTTCTGAGAGATAGGAAAATCAAATTTTAGATCTTCAAGGATCTTATTGCTTCACTATGGAGACCAGGTAAGGGAGTGTCCATCAAGGAGGTTGTCGAGAAAAGGTATCTTTTTACTTTTAATCATAGTGTAGACTACATGAAACATGTTTTGGATGGTGGGTCGTGGCTTTTTGAAAGGAATTTGCTGATATTGAAAGAGATCAAACCTGATGATATTCCACTTAAAATTGATCTTGATGAGGTAGAATTCTGGATCCAAGTTCATAATGCTCCTTATAGCTCGATGAATCTAGGAACTGCAAGAAGAGTTGGTAATTTTATTGGTAGGTTTGTTAAATATGATGATAATCAGTTTGAGGAAAATTGGGGAGCTTATCTATGTGTTAGAGTTTGTATGATGTGCGTAAATCCTTGAAAAAGGAACATCTCTTAAGAAAGCAATAGTTGGGCACTGGGTTGACTTTAAATACAAAAATTGCCCACATTTTGTTTTATTTATGGGGTATTGAATACTCTGACAAATTTTGCCCTTTAACATATGTGGACATATTAGTTTGGAGAAATCTGTTGAAGCTAGTCTGAGAGCAGGTAGTGAGGTGAAGATGAGTTCCACTGGAGGAAACACAAGTGACTTGTGGAGGGCCAATGCAAGGCACATCGTAGTCGCTCTTCTAATGAGGTTTCCAAGATGGGGAACGGCTCAGGAGGGCTGAGCTAGAAGGAATCTATGGCATGCACGTGGGATAACACTACTAAGGATGAGGACTTGGAGCATTTTGAGGAAGTGTCAAGAGAACATAAGAGAAGAAGAATTTGGGAAGATCAGGAGCACGAGGGGGACCAAGCAAGGAATCTAAGGCTGTAGACAAGCCAAAATGGGGAGGAGCTGGGCTCAGATGTCCAAGCCCACCAAAAAAGCAGATGCAAGGAGTTGGTTCGGGATGCGAGCTCGTCTTAGTGCTTTGGAAGATGCAGCAGAGATTTTATATTATTGTTTGTTTCTTTTCTTAGGGATTGAGTACTTTTTGTTTTTTCACCCTGTTATTTTTCAGCATTGTAAGATTTTAAGCTTGGATTCGGATGACAGGAGGTCTGCGTACCGTCTTTGGTTTAGTTGCATCCATAAATGTCTCAACGAGTTATACTGCTTCTCTTGAGATGGTTAACTCTGAGTCTGGTTCGAGGGTCGCCGGTTGTCTGCGGTCATTTTGTCTTTTCAGCCCCTATCTGTAAACTGTGATATCAATTTAAGCCACATTTCTTAAAAAAAAATACATTAATGGAAAAATTGATAGTAATAATCCCAACTATTGGCGGTCCGCTCATAATAATCCCAACTATCAATTATTTCAGAATAATCCCAACTTTAGGGACTTTACGCCAATAGTGGTCCCTATAAATAAATTTATGTAGTTTCTAAAGTGGATGGGGAGTGATATAGCAAGTAATCCCTACAAATAATCTCAACTTTTAATTTTTACACTTAATTTCTATTTAAAATTCACTTTTTATAGGAGGTAATATCTGACCATGGACCATTATTGAAGGATGATCCATATAGTTGGGATTATACAAAAATGTTCAATAGTTGGGATTATTATCAGCGGACCGACAATAGTTGAGATTATTATTTTCAAATTTTCCTACATTAATTAAAGTGTACGGAATTAAATATTATTCAAGGGAAATAAATAGTAATGTCGGGAAAGTGAAAGAGTTCTAAGCTTTTCATGATATAGGAAAATTATCTCTTTTTAGAATGATTAAATCAATATATATATATAAAAGAGGAACTTTTCAAGAGCATACAAAGCGCCACATAATCCTGCCACGTCATTATATAAAAGATTTTATTGGATTCCTATTAAAATTAATATAGAAAAAATATATATACGTTCATAAATGTAAAATGCTTTTGATAGATTCCTTTTACGTATAAGAGATTCCTCTTATACGTATTACATTCCTATTAGCTCATTAAATTTTAAAATAATCAATATTTTTGTACCTTTTATTTATATTAGATTCTATTTTTGATTGCATATTAATATGAAAAATAAAAGACCGTAGAAATCCACCTTATTTATTTGAGATTTGAGAATATTACCCGGAATAGGAGCAAAAAAGTGAAAATTTAAAAATATGCCTGTCATGTTTTTATTCCTAAAATGGGACTTATTACTACGTACTCCGGATTATGTTTTGACAGTACCAGACTTCAAACATGACAGCATTTTTCAAACTGAGTAATAATTACTCCTATTTTGGGAATAAAAACATGATAGCCCTATTTTGGAATTTGGGAACTTTTTTAGTCCTATTTCGGAAACTTTCCCTATTTAATTTGGTAACTTTTCAAAATCTTTTACGTATTTGAGAAATATTAACTTTAGTAATTGGAACCACAACAATTAATAATCAAATTTTAAGTATTGGATCACACAGTAACAATCATGTAATTATTTTTATATACTTTTTATTTTTTACTACGTACTACTCTGTACATTCTATCGAAGAGATGAAGTATCCTTTTTTTGCCCACTTTATAGATAAATCAGCAAAATTGCAATTAATTTTGTCTTCAAATTTATGTGATTAAAATATTCAGTCCCATTTTCTAAAATATAATATAATATTTTTCTAAACTCAATGTTGAGATAATGATAAAAATGTGTTAATACTTTGTATTTTTCTGCATCTTCATACAATTCTTTTTTATTTATTAATATAGTGATGAAAACTATGACCATCATATTGTTGAAATTAAAAACGAAATTAATACTATTAGATTATCAAATATATATATAATCTCTTAAAAATAATACTTGTGATCAGGTAACTTACCTTATTTGATAAGGATGAAAATTAGTATCTCCCTCACACACGTGTATGTATGTATATCTATCTGTATATATATTTTCACAAGTAAATATGTTTAGGCTATATAGCCAAAAAAGAAAATATGATTGGTTGTTTCTTTATTTTTACAACTAGAGTTTAAATATGCTTTCATTATATTCCTAATCCAAATTTGAAATCTTTATAAGTTTAAAAATTCCTAATTTTTATTTAACAGAGTGTTTTTATTAGATTGATTTAAGTTCCACACTAAATCAGATCATATCAAAGTTTAATAATTATAATAATAATAATAAGTCACATAAAATGTAAAACAGACATCTACCAAACCATATTAATTCAAACCAAATCAAACCTAGACTTTTAATTTAATTAAAGATGTTCTTATTAATGAGTAAAATGTAAGATCTCACTATTTTTGAATTTTGACTCCACTTTTTTCAAAGATACGGAGTGCATATACCAACATTTGTGTATAGTACTGATAAAATTTTATATGCACAGTGGGTGTATACATGTATTGGGGTCACATTAAAAAAACACGGGATTGGTACGTAACAAAGTAAAACTTGATTGGTACATAACTTGAGGAGTATTAGAAAAAAACTTGAGATGCATAATAAAGTAATTTAGAGGACGAACGATTATGAATTCTTTAAAATCGGGTTCATAACAATTATATTTACTTGTTGGCCAAAAACACCAATTATATTACTTGAGATGCTTATGTAGAAGATCATATTAAATATTTTTCATATAATTTTTTTTTGTTTTACAAATCGAATATTTTACAAATTTTTGTTATGATTGAGAAGATTTCACCTATTCAGCCTATTCAACCAGAATTTAATCAATTTCAACAAAATAAGCTAATTTAGTATTGTCAAACGGACTCTATATTAGAGTGAGTTTAATGTACTTTTGCATCACATTATATATGACCTTGAAAAAAATCAAATTTAAAACTAGCTAAATTATACACTTCCCGTGCATCGCACGGGCTTGAGAACTAGTAAGTAATAAAGTTAATAAAATGTTGTGAGATACTTCGTATATGCGAGAGCATGTATTTATTTTGAAGCCCAATGAAGAATCACGTTGCGCGATAGGCCCGACAAGGCTTCTCCACGCTCTTCTGAAAACCAACAAAATTTTCACTCTTCAATTACCAGATGCTTAACCGCTGTTCACTAAACCTTCTCCAGTTCTCCTTCTGTAGGGTTTTTCATCCTTCTCTCGAGCACTAAAAATGACTAAGCTGAGGAAGCTGAATCGCCCAACTGGTCATCGACTGTCCATGCTCAGGTTATTTTCTAACATAAATTCTTCATTTTTTTAATCAACGGGCTTTGTTCTTTTTCCTTTCCTGAGTAATAAGTTTTCAACGGCTTACAGGACAATGGTGTCGCAGTTAGTCAAGCATGAGCGTATAGAGACCACTGTCGCTAAAGTATTCTTATTTTGCTCAATCTCTTCACATTTCCCGTATCATTTTCAGAATGAAGTAGTTGCGATTGGATCTGATTCCCCCTGTTATCCTATTTCGTATAAAAATGCAAAAGAACTTTCTTTAATAGAATTACTTAAGTCATGCATTATGGTTTAGTTGTCTAACTGATTAGTTACTAAGATTATAGACAAAATTTTCCTTTTTCGTTATTGTTTGTGTGTGTGGGGGGCAGTCTAACCAGGTTGGGTGCGACTAATTGTGAAACCTTAATTCTATTATTCTTATCATCTTATGGCTTATTGTAGGCTAAGGAAGTCCGTAGGCTTGCTGATAATATGGTGCAGCTTGGAAAAGAGGTATGCAATTATGCATGATGATCTAGTGATTGATTTAAAGTGTATTAGGTCATTTTTGATAATTAATTTGTTCAAATGGGGTTAGGACTTAGGAGTGCATTCATTGGTACCTAAACATTTTCACATTGTAGATCACTCATTATATTGATCAGTTTCAAGGGATTGGAATGTGATAATATCTTTAAAAGTTAGGAAGTTGTATTTGAGGGGTGACACAATGCACCCTTAACCTAAGTAGCTAAACCACTACTCGGTGGCAACTTGGACAAGGGCTGAGTAGCGAGTACAGCCGACTGAGCTGAGCACTCAGGTTACTCGGGCCTGTATTAATTAAATTTGGAAACATAAATGCCCCCTAAAAATACCTACCAGTTATTTGTAAATTCCACAGTATCCAAGTTTAGCTTTAATTTTTCTCATTTAACCCCCTAAAAATCAATTTACTGCCTGTGGAGTAACTCGATGAGTCTACCTTGTCACCGAGTAGAAAAATGGAACAAATGAACAATGTGTCAAAGTAGTGAAAGTACTAATCAACAAAGCCCTACCCCTACTAGTGAGTACTCGGCGATTGGATAACATAACCAGTTAATAGGAAGTAAGAAACCGTGGTCTAGAGACTCTAGATTAGAGTACTTAATGGGACTAGCACATGTTTCTTTTTCTAATTTCCTTTCTTTTTATGTTCATTTTGGAACCCGTTAAATGGTCATCATCATTTCATCATTTTCATATACCCCAGTGCCACAAAGGCTCCCACCTACGGTGGGGGTAAGGGGGGTCAGATGTACACAGTCTTACCCCTGTACTAAAGCACAGAGAGACTATTTCCGGATGACCCATGGAAAATGCTATTTGAAGGAAATAAATGCTTAGGAAAATGAATTTTTGATGTTTGCATTTACATTAGGAAATGAAAATCTGAAAATCAAATTTGGTAATAACTTTTTCTGATTCAACTTATTTAGGTTTGTTAGTGTCAATATAATAGATACGCATAGGTAAAATAACTTGGAAGTTCTAAAAATATCTGAAACTGGTGTATTTAGCTTGAAACGTTTTCACTTTTCTATTTTCTTTCAAATTTTATTCCCTTTGAGATCAGCTATCGATTTATCTTCTTAGTGTCTTTCTGTATCATTTTCTGACATCCATACAGACCCTAGCGGGTTTATGGTTTTCCATGATGGGCAATCATCTTCCTCTAGTATTGGAAAATGTCCATATTTTTATAGGATGTTACTTCATTTGCCAGATTACACGAAACTAAATAATGTTTTGAGTACCATCTCACCAAATTCATTAGTTCCTGTCTAGTGAAGGATCTAGTCATCTAACAATAAACAATTGCCTCCAGCTCAAATTCAACATGAAGGATCTAGTCTTAGATGCCATCATAGAAAAACCAGTTGTAGTATTCTTATTTGGAATACTAATTATTTTCTTATTCACTGTGGCATGTTTGCATCCAAGATAATTCCATGTAAAGAAATTATTATTTTCTTAATCACTGTGGTATGGTTGACCGATCAGACTGCGCTTTTAGTGAAGAGCCCTAAAAAGTGATGCTTTTAGAGCTTAAACGAAGTGACCAAAATGCCCAAAAGTGACACTTTCTCACGCGCTGTCGCTTAATGTTTACTACCTCCATCTAAAAAAAATTGCCATTGGGCTTTATTGGTTAATGGTGGTAAACTTTGGAAACTGATTTTAATGAGCGTACTTTTGTGAAAGGTATAAGATTTATGCTTTTATTTGAGTATTTTTAACAAATGTATGATCGGTGAAAGTTTAACAAATTGACTAATAAAGTCCAAGATGCTGAAGTTTTGTGGGATAGAATTTTTTTTTTCATTTGTCACCCTATGTTATATGAATAAGGGCTTCATTTTTTCTGTGCATAGATGTTTCATTATCCTGGATTTCGCACTTTGATATACATATTATCCAATATAATGTTCTCAACTTTCTTTAATAGTTTAATGAGATATGTATTATATCACTTCCTCTGTGGAACTATCTTATCCAGCTCAAACTTTGCAGGGTACTCTGTGTGCTGCGAGGCGTGCAGCTGGCTTTGTGCGCGGTGATGATGTTCTTCACAAGCTGTTTACTGAACTGGCATATAGATACAGGTGAATGTATATAGATTTTTAAATTGCCACTGGCTCTCGTTTTATATTACTTTATTTTTATTAATGTTTTGCTGGGGTGCCATAACTTCTCCATAGCCGTAACTTGCAGAGAAAGAGCTGGTGGATATACAAGATTGTTAAGAACACGTATTCGAGTTGGTGATGCTGCTCCTATGGCATATATTGAGTGAGTTTTTTCTACCTTATGTACACATGTTGTATAATAAATAACCCAAACTAATTGTATTTTTGTAAACTGAGGATAACAAACTGGATATCACTTCCAGGTTTGCAAATTCGAGTTTTCTAAACATGTTTACTGAAAAGTTGCCACCATCCCAAACCAGTTTTAGTTTTAGCTGACAAATTTCTATCTTACCCTTTATAGGTTCATTGACAGGGTAAATGAACTTAGACAATCAAAACCACCCACCCCACAGCCACCACAAAGACCAGCCATGGACCCATGGACAAAGTCTCGGCTCTGCAGGCAGTTCGCGCCCCTTAAAGAGGAGAAAAGTTCTGACTCTGAGGGTTGAAAAATATTAAGTTACATATCAAATACATGGAAGAATTTCTCTTCTCTGGCAGTTTGTATCGCCAAATCTGTTACTCCCTTCTTTCCAACATGTAAGTTACACCGGTGCTTGCACGCTTTTTACGAAAATAAAGAACATTGTTTTTATTTTAGAATTGTAATCTTGTAGATGTCAGAAAGATTGGTATGAGTACTGGAAAAGTAACAGATGAAATTATAGACAAGTTGATTAACTGAAAATGTAGAAAGCTAGTGTAGCTAAAACAGATGGAGCTTGTGGGGCTGATGTGGACATGGTTTCGAGTGGTTACAGAAACCGTTACCAGAAGTGCTAGGTCCTGGCCGGTAGGTGGACATGGCTGATTTTGGCTAGGTTTGGGGTTTTGGAGGCCTTTCCGATCCCCTATAACGTAAATTGGTGAAATTGGTCTGGTTCTAGGTAGGGCACATGTGGTTCTAGATAAATTTTTTATTTTAGATCGTCTCTTCTCCGATTTCTTGGCCTGTAACAAAACCGTTGATGGATTGGTTGATATGGTCTTATTTGGAAGAATGCATTTAAATTGATTACGGTTTTGAATTAGAAAAATGGTTTAGTTTGTGTAGAAAATCCCGGCCGTCCCAGTATGAAACTAGTGTCCATATCGAGTTTAGGTATCGCTTTTGGAATCAGATCAGGCTGTTGGGCTTTGAACACATTTTATTAAGCACTGTTAATAAAAATAGGATGCATTACAATTAGTTTGAGACTTTGAGTAGCATTCTAATCGTGATTTTTTCTTTTCTAGATTGGGGCCGTTGGGGGTAATGTTTTTCTCTTCAACTGCCGATGGATCATGACTTGATTCTTTCGTATTTTATAAGCCAATTCCAATGTCGGAGTACCGCGCAAACTGATAACCTGATTGATGTCATTTTTATCACAAAAATTTTAGACAAGCACAAACTATACAAAATGATTGGTGTAAATAATTACTCTCTACATATATTTTAAATATGTGTGTGTGTATTATTACATCAAAATGTATCTAATAATTTGTCGAATAATCCACCATCTTGTACACAGTTTTGTGGAAGAATTATGCGAAAAAGAACAATCTGAGAGAGTTTGCCTTGTACTCTTTTCTCAATGTACTCTTGACTTGAGGTTTATACATATGAATTATTATGAAATACAATTTCTGTCCCATTAACATTGAGAAATGAGAAGGTGGTGCATTTATTAAGAAAAGTTAGTTATGTGGTTGATATTGAATTGATAAAGTAAAAATGAATTAGGAATAATTTAGAACCCTACAAACTATACCAAAATTTGGTATGAGACAATGTTAATGGGACAAAGTCACAAAACGAAGGAGGGGGTATAAAATAATGTGTAAAACTTGATCAATCGAATGTTGCTTGCATATTAATTTGGTAATTCATATAAAAGAAATTGTCCTAAGTAGGAGGAGTAAAAGTTTAGACATTATAAAATATGAGTACTATGTTTTTCCGTATAAATAGGAGTAATTATTGAAAAATTTGAAAAATATTGTCATGTTTCAATCATGTTAATGTTAAAACATGATAGTAGTTACTTCTTTTTAGTGAAAAAAAACATCATATTTCTTTTTTAAAATTCTCAAACGTTTTTAATCATTTCTTTGAGAATTTTCACATCAAATAATCGATATTCTTTGATTTTTGCACTAGTACTTATCTCACTTTTTTATATCATCAAATCCAACAAATATATTAAATCAAAATAACGTTCGTCGCCGCATGGCTGATAATACAATCAAAGAAAAGGAAGTAAGCAAAGCGATAAAAAGCCTAATGTTTGTCGTTCGCCCTCGGACCAGACTTAGAATATATCACCTCTGCAGAAACAATAATATTCAATAATCATGTAATGGGCTTAACTGACCCAATAATTGGCAAATCAAACTTCTCATCACCTGACTTAAATTCTATAATCACTCTGCTTGGAAATAAGAATACGTCCAAAACAACATGCAATTCGAAAGAAAAACACAAACAGAATAAAATGGAATTAAAACATAGTTCACCCATCTTCTTTCAAACCATAGATTTGCTTGCACTCCATGGTGGCGGTTCAGGAGGGGGACACGCCCGCCACTCATCCGCCTCAATAGTCATGCTTTTGTATTGATTGACAATATACTCCTTTGACATCCCTTTGCTGCTAAATAGTATAAAATTCTGGAGGTAGTATAATTTCAAAGTAGTCATGTTTTTTTAAAATGTAGTATAAAGATATTGCTCTAAATAGGACTAAAACATGACCAAAATTCCAAAATAGGACATTAAGTTTAGGCTAAAGGGTCAAATAGGCCCTTAAACTGACTTCAAGTGTTCAATTAGTCCCATACTCATCCGCCCCATACTTCGTTCTTAAATAAATGCAACATATGAAATTTTACATCATTCACATGTTTTACTTTGACTATGTTTTAGTAATTAATGTATTAAAATTATTTTATAAAAAAAATATTGTCAAATTTGTCTCATTGTAAATTTTCAAAATCTAATTTTTTTAATTTTTTTACTAATACAAAATTATATATATTAATGGTCAAAGTTGTGTCTCGACAGGAGTGAAATGTTGACCGTTACATTTATTTAAGAACAGTGGAAGTATTAAACATGCAACCAAAATTGACTATACTTCTCAATTTGGGGAAAGGCAAGAACGAACTTTATATATTTGTCTAACATGCAAGTAATGCCTGTCTATTTGGACACTGATCCAAAATCGGAGGCATCAATTTTGCCATCCCCATACTGGATGTAGTTTTCTAGCAACCCTATTACTACGTATAATCAATTTTGGTTGCCAATAAAATACCATTTCTATCTTCAAGAGGATGGCCGAGAAAAATAGACACCGTGCTTCTAGTTCTAGGCCCCTACTAACATACTGAGTAGTATGAATGTAGGATCCTGCTAATATATGATTACATTCATACATTTTATCATTATTTCATAGACAAAGTTTTTATATAATGACAATTCGTCTGGAAGTACAAACAAGACAACTCATCAAAATACGTTTTGTCTGTGAAAAAAAAACTACACTTGTAAAAGTGAGTGCACAAAAAAGTGTGTACCCCAACTCCCCAAGTCCAACTCTAAAAGCACACACTAAGCATTTTTGTAAAAGCTATTCCTTAAAGATGATAATTTAATGGTAAAATGATTTGTAGACAAATACAAAATGCAAGAAGGAAGATGAAAAAACAATATTTATATATTTTGATGCATAGTATTTGCTACATTAGAAAAATTAAACAAGTACTAAATAAACTATCCACAAACAAAGACAAAACAAATAAAAAATCTGAGGTTGTATTTTGTCAAAGTTTAGTTGGATGAATGATGTATACAATTTAGTCTCTCTAAACTTTGGGGGGGGGGGGGGGATGTCTCAGGTTGTCTTGAAGGCGGCCAAGACCCTGGAGGCAGGGATCCATTGATCAGCTTGAATGAAATTCTGGAGGGAGTACGAGGACACATGCGCAGCCGGGATCTGGTTACTCCATTTCACACGTGCAGACGTATCAACAGCCATTCCATCCCCATTTTTGCTGCCGAACTCCCCATAATAAAGCGTATCCAGTGCGAAATCACCATTCCACGGAAACCATCCTGCACGAGAAATAAGATCACCTAACGTACAGTCTATAAACACCGTTCTTGAATACTCCTTCCACGGCCTTCCTAGGTAGGTGGTATTGAACTTGTTAGGGTTCTGGACATACAACCGCATATACTCCTCAGTGCCATTGATATTGCTGCCCAAAAAGACGAAGCCAGTAGACTGAGCCGCAAGGATCCTCCCGTGAGCCGTCACGGCGTTGTTTGCCGGCTTTTCTGGTTTCAGTTGCCTGAGTGCGACGGAGATTAGGCACTCATGGAAGACTGCAGCCGAGTTTCCAAAGATGAAGTCAACATTGCCTTGGATATGGCAGGACTTGTAGTACTGACGAAGGGAGTGCGCGTAGAGAGTGTCTTGATTGCCGATGAACTCACAGTTTTCTATGACTGAACGATCGCTATCTAGTCGGAAGGCCACTGCTTGCTGAGCTCCTATGCCTGCCGTATTCTTGATCGTCAAGTCCCTTGCCATGAATCCATCTCCATTCACAGCTGGCCCAAAAAAAAAACAGCAACAGTGTTATGTATGCTATCTATATTACTCCGTATATATATACTTCGTATATATCAATTTTTATATAATCAATGAAAAGTTTTTTTAAAGTGTCCCATATTATATTAGTATGTGAAACATATTTCAGTATCAGGAAATTTTATTGAATAAAAACTGAATTTGTGTTGGTATCAAAACTTCACCATAGTTCTAAGGTCTGACAAATGTCTTGATATTTCTGCTACTCATAACAAGTACCAGAACTACCACAGTTTCCAAAGTATTATGCAGAGGTTTTGATGGAAATGCCAAAGAATCAATATTTATTATTACGTTGTATTTAGTTATAATCACCATGAAGACATTCCAACTTCAACCTAAATTTTCAAGTCTGATAGTATCTAATCAAGTTTGAACTCATATGTGTAACTCTAATCTTGTGTGAATAAGTTTAGTACGATGGGTATTGCACTACCATCTAACTCCGGGGTCTGATGTGTTATGTTTAATCTAAGTCCGGTCATTCGATCTAGTCTGATGTGTTATGTTTAAGCCTAATGGAATCTCCTCAAGTCTAAAATTAGTAAAACATCCTAAATTTATATAGTACTCTAAATTTCCATTCCTAAACTAAGTAGTATGGAGCTATATAGCACGGAAACTATCGGGAAAAAGTAAGTTTCCCATTTCGGAAACTCTTAGAAACTCTTTGGAAACTCTCCAAATAAGCCTTTTTGAGCAAAAGTTGACGTTTCCAGTTTCCGTTACCTCATGATTTTCACATTTCCGTGTAACATAGCTACCGAGGAGTTTGGTAACTTTGCTTTCTTTTGTCTAGTGTGAGAAACGAGCCATGTTTTAATGGGATGTTTCGAAATAACTTTTACTTCATACAAAGAGTTATGAATTGGGAATTTCAGTACATTCACCGCATTTCCCTTTTCCTGCAACATGGAGTATATGAATGTGAAGCGAGAACGGTAAATTAGGGCTTTAGAGCAATTGATTGACAGACTTACCAACAGTGGCAGAGTGGTAGGTTGTAATTCCGCGAAGTCCCACACTCAAGTCTCCGGCGATGATAGTTTTGCCCATGCCTTCCCCTAAAAACACCACATTCGTTTTATTGAACGGGACCCGAACTATCTCCTCGTAGAGCCCGGCCTTTATCAGTATCACAAACTTCCGGGTCGGGCTGCGATCCGGCGCGGCGTTCACGGCATCCTGAACTTTCTCGAAGCTGCAGCTGCCTTGCTTGCACACCGTCACGTCCGGGGTCAACCCGGGTGGAACCCCGACGTTGATAACTGACCCGGATCCGTCGCTCTTCTCCCAGAACCCGTCGCGCTCGGTTTTTGGCTGGCCCCACGACCCGGTATCGCCCCCGACCCGGTCGTAATTCACCAGCATCCCCAGCGAGTCGCCGGTGAACCCTAGAAGCGCCCACGTGAACGCCATTGTGCTGTTCACCTGAGAGGTTTCGTTCACGTACTTGAGCGCCGACCAGCAGTCGTAGTGGTATACCAGTACGGCGCTCATCCACGCGCGGGCGTCCTTGAGCTTCCCGCTCTGGAGAGCTTCTCCAACGGATTTCATCCGCGGCTCCACGTAACCGTACAGCTCAAGACACGTCTCGGCCGCAACTGTGCGGTTGTGGTTTTGCTGGGAGCGGTTGAGGATATCAATCACCATGGATTTCGCCTGCTGGAGTTTCTGAGAAGAGACCCCCATCGCCGCCTCGATAATCTGGACCGCAGTCGGGTTAGGCGGAAGCAGATCGGAGCTGGCGAGTTGGGACTCGCACTCTGGCGGGTCAGCGGAGACCTTACAGGCATTACGGGCGGAGAGGGGTAAGCCGGCGCCGCCTCCGCCGCCAGATTTGGGCGCCCCGTGGTGGCGGGAGGCGGAGGAGAGGGTGAAGAAGAGGACGAGGAAGAGGATGAGGGCGAAGGAGAAAAGGGACGCCATGGATATGTACACGAGCTTCAACGGACAGGAGGGTTTAATAAGCTTTCTGGTGGACATAGTGGTCAGGCATTTATGACGAGTGGGGGGAATTGGGATTGGGATTGGGACTGGCCTGTGGGTAGCATGCTTGACTTGGTCAAGGTACATTCACGCGTATAGGCAGATAGTGGAATTGTGGAGTGGAATCGAGCTTAAGAAGAAGAAGAAAGGCGTGGCGTGGGTGGGAATTGGGAGCAGAGATCATCACCGTTAACTGCTAACAATGGCGAACAGCAAATCACAGTGGCCTGATTATGAGATAGGAACCGAAGAAAGGGCACGACACACTATTTCTCCCATTTGAATGAACGGGAGACCGTAAGTATTGATTTAAATGGAAGGGTAATATAGGTATATAGAAATATACTCCGTATTCATTTTCGCTTAAGATAAGGTGACTGTCAATAATAAATCTTGGGCTGCAATTAGAAATTCCCATATTAAAGTCTTCCCGAAAATTTAGAAATAAAACAAGGAAAAATTCACAACAATAATCCCACCTTTCACCGGTCTTCTCATAATAATCTCACCTTTAAATAATCTCAAAATAATCCCACCTTTGCACTTCATCTTCTTCCATTGGACCCTAATCAAGTTTTTTTACCTTTTTTGAGAATCTTATATAAATAATCTTACATTTATAAAGATATAATAAAAAAGTGAAAGGTGAGATCATTTATATGATTTTCAAAAAAAGAGTAAAAAACATGGTCAGGGTCCAATGAAAGAAGATGAGGTGCAAATGTGGGATTATTTTGGGATTATTTAAATGTGGGATTATTATGAGAAGACCGGTGAAAGGTGGGATTATTCTTGTGAATTTTTCCATAAAACAATGAGACCAAGACTTGGAACCACGATTTGATTGGTTCGGTTTGTTTCGGTTCAGTTTCGGTTTTTTTGATTTTTTTACCAAAATTTTTTCACTTGATTTTAAATTGATATATTACTTAGAGGGATCAAACATATTACATAAAGAATTCAAGCACAATATAACGACAAATAAAATAAAAATGAGAAGAGATAAACATGTCTTGAATTATATGAGTATGTGAGATAGATAAAACTGTATATATTATTGATTTAATTTGTTTGTGAGTAGGTTGAAAATTTTTCATGAATATATATGTTCTATGTGATATAGTTGAGATTAATATTTATTGTTTTATCAATATAAAATCTTTAAGTTATCTAAAAATAAAAGTTAATTACTACTAATAACTAGTAAACACATATGATCATCATTCAATATAGCTATTATTACAGACAATGAATGTGTAAATGAATTTAGAAACTAAATTAAATTAAACATAACACAAACATTATTTCTCTAACACAAGAAAACCAAAGACTATTGATGATATTAAGATTAACTAGAATTAATGCTTAACAATTAACATATAAATTTCATATTTTAAATAGTTCGGTTTGTTCGGTTCGGTTCGGTTTTGAAGGGTAAAAACCAAAACCGAATCGAACAACTTCGGTTCGGTTCGGTTTTTTACATTCGGTTTTGGTTTCTTAGCGGTTCGATTTTATTTGGTTGCGATTCGGTTTAATTTGATTCCGTTTTCGGTTTTCGGACCCAACCCTAACTGACACCCAAAAACCGATCATGGTTCGGCCCGAATGATGTTTGCGGTCTAGGTTTTTTCCCTTTTTAACCGGCTTGAATAAAAATAATTCGGATTGAATCAGAAAATCGGGCTCACAAAAAGGTCTAAAATCTCTAACCCGGCCGGAGTTGATAAAAACTTGAAAATTTAGCTTTAAAGTAAAATCAATATAATATACCAACATAATTAAAAAATAATTTCTAATGTATGATTGTAAGTATGATAGATGAAAAAATGACTAAGTAATACTCCCTCCAACCTAGAAAATTCTTTCCAATTTGACTTGGATCGGAGTTTAAGAAAGTGGGAATAAAGAAGAAATGTGTGTTTGTGGTTGAGTAAGAAAAAAGTTAAATGAATGGCGGGCGGTCACACAAACCTTTCCAAAAAGGAGAACGGAAAGAATTTTTTGGGATGACCCAAAATGGTAAGTGAGAAGAATTTTTTGGGACGAAGGTAGTAACTATTAATGATTACAAATATGATCCGTTTGTATACTGTAATGACCATGAAAATATACCTATAGTAACTTTAGTCACATTTTTATCAATTTGTTTTATTTAGTACGGAGTACTATTCTTAGAAGATTTATATTATTTATTTATAGGAAAAATTGATAGTAATAATCTCAACTATTGACGGTCCGCTCATAATAATCCCAATTATCGATTATTTCAGAATAATCCCAGCTTTAGGAAGCTTCCGCCAATAATGGTCCCTATAAATAAATTTATGTAGTTTCTAAAGTGGATGCGAAAAGATATAACAAGTAATCCCTGTAAATAATCCCAATTTTTAATTTCTATGCTTAATTTCTATTTAAAATTCACTTGTTATAGGAGGTAATATCAAGTCATGGACCATTATTGGCAAACAGTCCATATAGTTGGGATTATACAAAAATAATCAATAGTTGGGATTATTGTTAGCAGACCGACAATAGTTGAGATTATTATTGTCAATTTTTCCTTATTTATATGCATCTTAAACTAAATAGTAAGATAAATGTTTCTTTGGATTTGAATTTTTTGGTGATTTTGAAGACTAATAGTTGTGTTATTACTTGTGATTTGCATTTTTGATTAATTTCATTTGAATTAGGATGTGACACTAATTTATTGATTACATATCGAACTTTTATCATATTGCATATTGAAACATAGAAGCAAACTTGAATTAAACGTAATCGATATGCAATATGATAAAAGTTCGATATGTAATCGATAAATTAATGTCACATCTCAAATCAAATAAAATTAATCAAAAATGCAAATCACAAGTAATAACACAAATATTAGTCTCCAAATTCACCAAAAATTTCAAAACCAAAGAAAAAATTATCTTACTATTTAGTTTAAGATGCAATAACAAACTTTAAATGAGGGGACACAAAAATCATTAGGGCACTCATTAGATGAATCATCTATCCAATGATCCTTCTCAGCCATTAGGGCACTCTTGTTTCCACCCTCTTCCATTGCTAGGAGCATCTTCTTCTTGTTCAGATTAATCTTCTGTTTGTAGTACTCAACGTCCTTCCTTCTTTTTGGCAACCTGCAGTCCTTAATGAGATACCCCTGCTTCCTACAGTTGAAGCACTTAAGAGCATCATCAGCATCCACAACGTCACATGTATCAAATGGTTGTTCTTTCCGCTAGGTGTTAGTAGAGCATTTGTGAAGTCTATTAGAAGAGGATTTCTCTTCTTGTAGATCTGGTTAGTAAACCTAAAAGTCAGGAGCACCAGCTGCTTATGGAAGTCCAAGAGTTCATTATCAGATTCATCATCAAACTCAATTTCACTTTCTTCAGTCTCAGGAGCGATAGCGTTCATCTTCTCTTTCTGGGTCATGGAAGCATATTTGGAGGGTCTTTCAAGTATAAGAGTCAAGGTGTCAGTAGGGATGTAAAAAAAACCGACCCGCAATGACCCGCCCTGGGCCGAGACATTTGGGACAGGTCCGCCCCGCCCCGTCTTGCAAATAGGGCGGGTCCACCCCGCCCCACCTATATAATGGGGCGAGTCCGGGTATTAGTATTGACCCGTGCCGCCCCGACCCGACCTTCTCAATATATAAGTATACATAATGTTTCTTAAATTATACTACAAATATAATTCAACATACATATGTGTGTATACAATAAATCATAAATTCTTTGATATTATGTTTCGTTGGAACTTTAGTTTGAGTGCTAAACTATGGTTCGAAGTCATCGTATCCTGGGAAACGATCGTTGTAACGCTCCTAGCACCCCGGGAGGCAACGAATACGTTTTAAGGAAATCGTGCCTAGCACGAGCTTTGCCTTATTCTGCTTCATCTCATTTCTTGTTTTTCTTTAAGTCAATTTAGGTAATTAATTTTTATTAATTAATTTTTTTTTATTTTTCCAAACACACCCAACAAAAGAAACGGGACAACTAATAAAAGATACACAATTTATAATACTTTTATTTTGTTGTGCATTTTATAAGGCACAGTTGTAAGAAATTACTTATCGTTCATTTTATGTTTCAATTTGACTTGGATTTAAAATATTTTTTTCTTTTACACTTTCGTTTCCATTATAATATATTTTTAGGTAGTATCACAGACGTCAGTGGCGGAGCTACTTTAGTGCAAAAGTGTTCACATGAACACCTAGATTTTTGAAAAAAGTGTTAGTATACATGTATAATTTTAGTTTAAACTAGCTTTCAAGCCCGTGCGATGCACGGGTAGTACATAATTTAGCTAATTGTTTATTTGATATTTTCGAAATCGTATATAATTAATAAAAGTAATTCAAATTTATATGAAAAATATTTAAATTGGACTTCTACATAAGCATCTCAACTAAACATAATGGTTATGAACCCGATTTTAAAGAATTCATACAAAAGTTTCTTAATTAATTTCACATCCTCTATATTACTTCATTAAGCATCTAAAAAACTATTTTTAAATATTTCTCATTCAACATGTGGTATGAAATAAGTATTTGTAAATTTATTAGTGAGCTCTTGCATTGTACTCATTATTTTGTCACAATGAAATGTAAAAAAGGGATCATTTTTACAATTTACTCATTTATTTCGTCATGTTGAAAATGTCGTTAATAAGGATATTTTTAATTAGATTGACATGTTCATTTCTAACTTGGTCTGGAAGATGTCTATTTTATGTATAATAATAATAATAATAATAATAATAATGATTGATATTTGATCCGATCTTGTCTAAGACTGAAATCAGTCCAATTAAAAATACCATAAATGTATGAAGATTTCCTAATTTAGATTAGGAATCTATGTCAAAAGTGAAGAAAAATATAAATTGTAGTTGTAAAAATAAAGAAACAACTAAACATGTTTACTTTTTTTGTTGGGCTAAACGTATTCATATATGTATGATATGAATTTCCATTTTCATCCTCATAAAGGTAAGATACTTGATCAAAAGTTTTAAATGTTTTCCAGGCCCGGCCCAGCCCAGGTGCAATTGGAGCATCTGCACAGGGCCCCCAATTTCAGAGGGCCCCCAATTTTTTAAACCTTATTAGTATACCCAGGCCCATTAGTAAAGAGTAATATTAAAATAGACAACCCGACCCAAGCATTAATCGGCCCGCGACTAATCCAAGCGACAAATATCCTCTCCATTCAAAGCATTAAGCGGCTCTTCCATTCTTCATCTGCTTTTTTGGGTATTTGAG